TCATAAACTCCACCCCGTAAGCTCTCCAACCCCAAAACAACTGAGATGCATTCAGTTTTGAAGCTGCCCTTCCTACTGCTTCAAAGGCAGAACACCTACAGTACCCCCCTACCGCGGATTCTAGCTGATGACTGTCCTACTGGGCGTGTTAGGGTTCAGGGTTTAGGGTGTCCTACTGGGTGTGTGCTAGCTGGCTTGTTCAAGGGCAACTTTGCTTCATTGAAGTAGGTCCTACTTCAATGAGGTAAAGTTGCCCTTGAACAAACCGACTAGAAAAGCCCCCAGCACTTCACCATGCGACGTCCTGCACCCAACCGTAAGCATCGTATGCACTGTGCTTTTTCCTATGCCCTTAAGCTTTAACTGCAGAAGGACCCACCAGAAAGCAGCAGATCGCGACAAGCCACGGAAAAGAATCGCCAGAGCCGCCGCGGCCGGGAACTTCCTGAGGAATGCCGACACCGCCTGCTCTGCTCTTGTTTTTTGGGGGGTTCAGGCCCTTGCTTTTGGTGTTAGGGTTTAGGGCCCTGGTTCGGGTTGAGGGATAAGGGCTCAGGGCCTTCATTCTGAAACCCCGACACCGACCTGTCACGGCCGCGTTTCCACCTGTTGGCTGCAACCGGTAATGCAAGTTCGGTCTACAGCCTGTGCAGGTTAAGGTTCAGGGACATGGGTGCGAGTTCTGTTTCTACTTATGAAGGTTTGGAGGTTCGGTCGTCGGGTCTAGCATGCTAGCTGGTCTTGCATGTAAGGCTTTTGGAAAGCCTTTCTGAGGGTACGGATATTCCCGAGCGGTAGGTTCCATGAGCAGACCTTTATGCTCTTCCGCATATGCACCTCTTCCCGGAAACAGGGCGCGGGGATCCGTTCTCACGGGCTCCTATTTCAACTACTATGCTACGAAACGCAAAAGGACGCCCTGATGTTCATCAACTGAAAACCTTGAAGCTTCACAGCTAAGCTTTACCAGGCATATCCCTTGCTACTTTGCTTCAATGATTCAATGATACCACTCATCTGAAATATCCTGATCCTAGTTTTGTTTATGTGCTTCCTTAGGTGCCCTAGCCTAGCTGCTAGCTTCTTCTCGGGGTCGATGGCCCTCAGTCCCTCAGTTCCAATGACTCAATGGAAGTCCCTCCAAAAGAAACGACAACGCAACGAGAAAAGCAGAGCACCCAAGAGCCCTACAGGCAGTTCCCTAAACCGAAAGCCCATGCGACTATACGTCCCAAACCCCAGACACAAGCAGTCGAACACCGAAGCTCCAATCCCGAAACCGACGAAACCTAAATCCTGAAACCCTACACAGGCGCACAACCTTCAAAGCCTGCAATAAACCCGAAGCCCCAAACCCCAAACCCTTGCTGAGCCTTTCTTTAAAAAGCAACCGCCAGATCCAAATTCAGGTAGCCTGGCCTTGCTCTGGCCCTGTGCAAGCTGGTCTGCTGCGACGGAGGCCTTTAGCTTTCTTCTTAACGTTTAGGGCTTTTGGTTTAAGGATAAATACCCCTCGGTTTAGGGGTTTAGGGTTTAGGGCTTTTGGCTTAAGGATGCTTTAGGCTAAGGGTTTAGGGGATTAGCGCTAGGGGTGTAGGGGTTTACGTGGAGGGGTTCAGGGTGCAGGGGTTTATGGCTTCAGAGTACAGTAATGGTTCAGGATTCTGGGTTTCATGGCTTGGGATTCACGGTTTGAGCTTGTGTAAGGTGCCTTTTTTTTTCGAAGGGGGGTTGGACATTTGAGAGCGATGTGACATGATAGTTCAACAAACATACAGTGCCAGTCAGACGGTGTGCGTTGAATCGAACTGGCCCCGTAAACTTTGGAGAATGCTTTGGCGGATGCTGCTTGCTGCTGCCGCCGCTATGGCTACAACTGCGACGACGACGACCACGACCACCACCGCCGCTGCCACCACCACCACCACTACCTCAACGAGGACGACGACTACAGTACTACTAGCACTACTACCATTACTCATTACTACCACTGCTGCTGCTGCTGCTACTACTACTACTACTACCACCACTACTACTACTACTCCTGCTGCTGCTGCTGCTGCTGCTGCTACTGCTACTACCACCACTACTCTTGCTACTGCTACTGCTACCACTACTACTACTACTACTACCTCCTCCTCCTCCTCCTCCTCCTGCTGCTGCTGCTGCTGCCACGACGACGACGACGACTACTACCACGCTGCTGCTGCTACTACTGCCACGACCACTACAACAACAACTACTACCACTACTGCTAGTAGTCATACTGCGACGACGACGACCACCACTACCGCCAAGGCGACGTCGACGGCCACTACGATAAGTAGTTCTGCTTCTTCTGCGAGAACCATTCAGTCGCGGTGAAGATGACGATTCCGCATTGTCCGTTACCACAGTCATTGTTTAAACATGGTTTGTAGCACTGTCGATGTGACTATGATAGTGAGTATTATCCTGCGGTTCACTGTTGATCTTCATTGCTACCGTTCGTTGTGACATGACTGCTGCGAAGAGCAAAGCCATCATCATACCCGAGTTGCTAAGTGCCCTGACCCTCCAAACAATTGGCTGTTGATTCTACCTGCCACGCGACTATGATCAAGTTCTAGGAGGTTTCCGCTTCGTCGCCGAGGGAATAGAACATACGCCCCAAACCCGAAAACTCTCCATAGAAAACATCCCAAAGTTCACAGGCCACTAGTGGTCGCCTCAGAAGTCAGGGGTCTGCGATTTAGGGGAGGATGGGACGGGAGGATTCTCGGCCCGGGGCTCTCTCGCACCAGTCTGCGTTTTCTGCCTCGCGGTGCAGGCTTCACAGAATAAGCGCGCGAACGCGTTTGTGTTTCACGCAAGTTCAAGCCTCGAGAGACGGTGATGTGGTGAAGGCAAGTATGGGGTTCTTTGGGCAGAATCCAAAGAATATCGAATAAATCGACACCCCCACCACCAACCACCCCGTCTGCTGACCACCACCGACCACCGACACCAGCATCGCCACCAGCCCACTATCACCATTGCAACAAGCACTCCCACAACCATCGGAACCACCAGCACCAGTGCCATGACCGGCAACGACGACCGCAACAACTTCAACAACAATGCTAGCACCAGCAACTGCAACATCGGCGCAGCAACACGATTAGCATGAATCACAATGAAAAGAGGTTCCGATGTCCCTTGACCCCTCTAAATGCTTGAGCACTATCCAACAATACATGAGAGCGTGCTTAACCCCTACACCCTACCACCTTAACCCCTTTTGGCCCTTAACCCCCCCAAACCCTAAACCCTAAACCCCCTGTACACCGTAACCTTTATAATCCCCGAACCCTTGTCTCCCCAAACCCTTCGCCCTTGAGGCTACAGTGAAGCCTGGCAGCTGCCCTTAAGTAAAAGCCTTTGAAAAGAACCCTCGACAGGAACCCTGCTCTAACTATTGCGGGCCCCTGTACTACGGCTGCTGATAATATAAATCCTGCCTTACCCATAATAAGGAATACACAGTGATTCACATAGTATAGGGTCCTCAAGGTAATGCAGGATTTATATCATCCACAGTAGGGGTTTGCCAGGCTCCGAGTTGATGGACACTGCTGGGCTTATCCAGGCCTTGGTGGCCTTCAGCTCAAGGTGGACATCGGCCAACTCTTTCTCTAAGTCCTCTGCACTCTGTACGATTCAGGGTTTCAGGTTGCACGGTTTAGGGCTTTTGGGATTTAGGGTTGAGTGTTGAGGTTTCAGATTGTATAGGGATTCGGATTCGCCAGGGTATGTAGCCCGATACGGCTGTTGTAAGACCCTTCATACGGCTTCATACAGGCTCTAAGGACGTTTGTAATGCTGGCTAAGGGTGCTTCAAGAAGTTCAAAGATGGCTTTCGAAGGACTCTTGAAGGAGCAAGGGTGCTTTGAGGCTTTCCACTTTCAAACCTTCAGGGTTCGGGTTTAGGGCTTCGTGTGAATATACAGCCCGAAATTCTCAATGCCTATGAATCGGGGCCTGAGTGGTTCGAGTAGGGCTTTGGGGGTATGTTATACCTTTAGGGTTTAGGGTTTAGGGGGTTTAGGGTTTGGGGTTTAAGGAGTTTGGGGAGTTTAGGGTTTAGGGTTTAGACCTGATCCTGAACTTCTTAAACGCCAAGCCCTGCAGTGCCAGGAACTGAATTCCTGAACAGGAAACAACCTTATAGAACCCTTGTAGTAACGCTTTGGGAAGCCCTTTACAGTTCTCCGATGTAATCCTTATAATCGTAACCCCAGCAGCATGCGTTCCAGCTCCACGGTGGGACGGTGTAGGGTTGAGGGAGAGAGTTTCAGACTACAGAACCTTTATCGGTATCTTTAACGCCAAGCACTTGTTAACTATCCAAAGGGAAGCCTAGATCTGAAAACTGTCGCCAGCCTACTGTAGGGGCCTTAATAGTTAGAATAGGGTTTTGGGGGTTCCTTTAAGAATTATAGTATAATATAGCCCAAACCCTATTCTAATTATTAAGGCCCCTCTATTACCACACCCTTTAGATCCTAGGCCGGGGATGTCCTGCATGTCCTTCTGCAGCGACTCCACCTGAACATCTTTCGGCGCGAGGGCTGCTCCAAATTGGGGCCTTTGTGGGGCAGGGGGGGGTGGGGTTCGAAAAAGCATGTCACTCTGACAGTAAGGATCCTAACATCGACTCTAAATGCTGAGAGTCAGCTGTAAGGAGCACACGTCAACTGCAGCCTTTTTCAACAATAGAACACGGACATGTCGAAGCAGCTGCAACTAAGAAACATCGGCCCTTAATGGCTCGTATGCTTCGTGTGGAGTATGGCTGTGCACTTCTCAAGGCAAGAGGCTTCTGCAGGGGGTACCGGCAGCTGTACAATCGCTTTTCTGGCCGCGACCTGTCCTTGCCCTTGCGAGGACACTGGAGTCCCCTGCGTTGCCGAAGCGAATTCGATCGAACTCCATCGCGAACCCTCATCTACCCGACACCCTGAAAACCCCTGAGGTTTGACTCAGCAGCCCTTTCCACCGAGAAGGTGCAGACATGTCAGAGAAGGGTCCAGCACCAGGAAGTCCCCGACCAAAGAATAGAGGAGACAGACACCAAGCATGGCAACAGAGATGATGGCAAACACAGGCCGTCTAGACCATTCTGTCTTTCGCTGCTGCGCGTCTTCTTTCTGCGATGGCAGCAACATAAGCGTCCCTATGCCAAGAACCTTGATGATGTAAGACAACAAGAATGACGAAGCCACTGTCCAGCGAAAGGCCTGCGTGTCCTGTATGTAGTTTACACTCGAAAACAGATCGGGTGTGAAGAACGAGAAGATTTCGTTCGAGAACATGACGGACATGGGCTGCCCCACAGCTTTGACAGTCGCCACCACGCCGAAAACAAGAGCAGTGTTGCCTCCGTCCGCAAACTCGTTCACCATGAAGAGGTAGATCAGGTCTGCCATAGCCTCGGGAACGTACGAAGTGATCGGTTCCCCAAGGTAGAAATACTGATTCCGCACGATATCGAAAATAGTCAGAAACTGCGGAGCCATGTCAATTACGATGGGGAGTGTGATGCTAGCAAAGACCGTCTTGCGCCAGCTGACATTCAGAAGATACTTCTGGGTGAGCCAGCTTCCGACAATCGCAAGAATCATGCCCAAGAAATTGCTGAGTTCCCTCTGCATGTCTTTGGTCTGGGCCCACTCAAGGCCCACCCAGGTGCCAGCACTTGTGAAGATTGAGAAGACGGCCGTGTTGGCCAAGATGTAGAGCGCAAAGGAGCAAAATGCCTTGCTTTCAAAGATGCGCCAGGAAGATCGGCAGTATGCCCGAATTGACGCTCGCGATGCAGGTCCTTCGCGGACAAAGAAGAAGCCTGCGATTCCCACCACGCCTGAAATCACTGCAAAAATGAGAAGGAACTGCCTGTAGCTCAGCTGGTCGTGCTGGTTGAAGCTTCCTGTGAACTTGCGGCCATTGAACCCGAAAGCAGCAAGAAAAACCGAAGAAATGCTTCCAGCACAGAAAACTATCTGCAGCATGGCTTGGGTTCGCCCGCGGATTTCCTGAGGCTCGGCTTTGGCATACTCTACCACGAGACCTTGAGCTGCGGCGGTGGCTGCCACACAGCCCAGATTAGCCATGCAGAGGCAGGCCATCAAGGGACCGTAGGCCTCCGGAGCTTCGGGGTTGCAAGGGGCCTCCTTGTCCATGTACCGACCATCCACGAAACAGAAGTAAGGATCGGGAAGGCCAAGGCCAATCAGGATAACGAAGCTTGCCGACGCCAGCAGAAAGCCTCCTCCCATGTAAGGACGGCGTCGGCAGCCAAAGATTGGCCGAGAATCGCTAAGGATGCCGAAAGCCAAAGTGAAGACACTGGGCATCAGCACGAGGTTCGTTGCACTTTTCATGATGTTGCTTTGTACGTTCAGGTATCCTTCCAGCACGTTGAAGAAAATAGCATCCACACCAGCGCGAAGGAACCCCATTCCAAAGAAATGCAGGGCGATGCCGCAGTTTCTAAAGTCCCGGAATGAAAATTGCAGCTGGCCATCCGCGTCGTTCTGGAGGGATGGCCCCATCTCCACATCACCGGACCGATCACCGGACACAAGGCTGGGTTTCGACACATTGACATTACCTTGTGCTGCCGAGCACTCTGGCGCAACGGGCACAACGGAGACTTCCGTGATCATGCTGTCGAGCTAACGCGAGCACGAAAACAGCTGTACTGCCACCGCACTGTACACCCGGCCTGAGCCAATCTCGGCTGAATGATTCAAACAACCTGCTTCTGAACACGCAAGAGGGAGCAAGATTGGAATACGGATCTGAGCAGATATCATATCGTAATTCCTGGGGCTTTTCAACGGGATATTTACTATGATTACACACTCCGGTTCCTGTGCTATCGCGCGCAGTCCCCACGTTCACCTGCCCGACGTAGTTCTACTATATGACTACGGAGGGAAAGCATAAGGACTACTGTTGCAATTTATTCCGACCTCTTATTTTCAAAGTGCCAAACCCGAAGGCCACTCGAATTCCCTTAAGCCGTAAAGCCGCAGAGCAGTAAACCCCAAACCCTCAACCCCAAAAGCTAAAGCCCTAATTAAACCGGTCCTACACCCTAAACCCTAACCCTAAAACCCTAAACCCTAAAACCCTAAAACCCTAAACCCTAAACCCCAAAACCCAAGCCGCAGAGGGAAACCGAGAGCTGCACGAGCTCTCGTTGGCGGTTGGCCTGCGAGGGGACGGCGCGCAGGAAACGCCCTGAAGGGCCCCCCCCCAGGGGTTTTGGGTTTTTGGGCCGTGTAAGGTTTAAGCGTAGGGCTTCGGGTTTCGAGTTTTAAGGCATTGATTTCCATGGCGGTTTTATGTAGTGTGTTGTTTTGTTTTGTGCATGCTCTTTTTCAGCTATGGCGTTTCAGACGGTGTTGGACCTTGTGGTTTGATGGTGCTTTTCTCTATTGCACCTTGGATTGCTGTGTAGGTCTGAGGACTTACCAACTAGGTTATGAGCAAGGCTATAAGACCCCAACTAGGGTACTTAAAGCCCTACTTGTACTATCCCCTAGACTTCCTTATTATCTTTCTACTATAATATATATATATATATGCCCAAAGCCCTATTCGAACCATTCTTGCTCTTATGAGGTGCTCGGGCCGGAACACCCAAAGCCTGAATCAGTCGCAACACTGGGGGCCTGGGCTTCGTATGGGGCGTTAAAAACTGGAGCAGGATTTTGTGGGATGATACAGCAAAGGAATTAGAATTAAATTTTGAGCATTTTGTAGTACCCATGATACAGGGGCTATATTGCGAGAGTGCTACTGATTATTCCGACCCCTGTACTGGCCCGGGCTCTGCCCTCCGTCGAAACGATCCGAACACAACCCTGCCACCTCGCCGTAGCGCTCGCACAAAGCCCCTCCTGCTTCATCGTAGGCCTCATGAACAGCGGTTTAGGGTTTAGGGTTCCGCGTAGAGAGTGTGAAGCCATAAGGCGGGACTGTCTAGTTCCTCAGCCGTACAGCCAAAATTCTTGAGACTGCATGGGTAGTTGTGAGATGTGGTTAGCTAGCTGCAGGTATGACTAGGTAGTAGCTCCCGGCATATCTAGCAGCAGCGTATCTTGTATAACCACACATGACTATGGGCGACTATGTATCTCGACACACGTCTCGCCTGTATTGGCGTAACATACTACATGATGTACGTGTATGTATATATATATATAGCAAAACATATCAACTGTACATCTGTCTGTCTGTCTGCCTGTCTGTCTATCTATCTATATGTCTATCTATCTATCTCTCTATCTATCTATCTATCTATCTATCTATGTAGAGATGTGTCATATATATATATGTATATATACACATATACATATGTACATGGGGAAGGCAACGTACTCATCTTTCAGATCGTACCCTAAGCCCACAGTCCAAACGAGGCCCGCATACTTCTGAACAGCGTTCTCAACTGCTAGGGCGGTTGGGGTTTGAAACTGTCGGATTTAAGGGATCTTGAGGGTAAACCCTGGTCACACACACACACGCATGGATGCTTAGTTGTTGGGCTCTCACGTACAATGCCACAGCCCTGGCAAATCTCTGCATCCGAAAACTTCCATGGCTTAAGTCCTCACCCGTAAACCCAAAAAACCTGCTGCTGCTACTACTACTACTACTACCACCACTACTACTACTACTACTACTACTGCTACTACTACTACTACTACGACGACGACGACGACGACTGCTACTACTACGACGACGACGACGACTACTACTACTACTACTACGGCTGCTACTTTTACTACCACTTCTTACCACTGCTGCCACCACCATTGCTACTACCAGTACTACTACGACTGCGACGACTACTAATACTTACAACTGTTTCTACTACCACTGCTACTTCTTACTACTACTGCTACTACTGTCCACCACGATTACTACTACTACCACCACCACTCACCTGCTTCTGCTGCTTCTTATCCACTTGGAACTAGAAGTAGTTAACATAGTAGTCGTAGCAGTAGTAGCAGTAGCAGTCGTCGTCGTAGTCGTCGTCGTCGTGGTCGTCGTAGTACTAGTAGGAGTCGTCGTCGTCGTCGTCGTCGTAGTAGTTGTTGTTGTTGTTGTTATTGTTGTTGTTGTTGTTTTTGCTGCTGCTGTTGCGGCTGCTGCTGCCGCTGCTGCTGCTGTTGTTGTTGCCGTTTAGTAGTCGTCGTAGTGGAAGCCTCAGCAACAGGATTTGCTTGGTTTGTGTTATCCTCAGGTACTATTTGCATGTACCTCTTTTACAGGACATCTACGGCACACAACCAAATCGCAACAGCGGCTAAGGTGACGGCAGCACTGCCGCCTGCGGTCCAGGCCGTTTGCATTGGGTCGGGAACATACTGGTGTTTTGGGTTCGTCCAGGACGTAAAGGATCTGAGGCTTTTCGAGTTGTATAGTAATTATGTAATTCTGTTCATGATAATTACGATTCAACATGCAACTCTGGCACCACTCTTGCTGCGGCTGCTCCAACCTTGCATTTTTTTCCATTCCTAGGACGACTACGACCACGACTGCTGTTGCTACAGCTGCTACCGCTACGACCACTGCTACTGCCACTGCCCCGAATAAGCTTGAATTTCAGTTTTAATTCAGATTGACTTTGAGTCTTGGCCTTCCTTCATCCTCTAGTCGGCTGCGCGCACAAGGGGATGAGCATCGAATTTGATGCTTTTCAGGGTTCCGATAGAGTGTGCAAGAAATCGGTTTTCGTATTCTCATCTCTCTGCGGATACGACTTACATGATTTAAAATCGAGTCAGACTCCATGTCACTGTGACAGCTTCAGCCGAGGTGTCAATTCGAATTTGGGACTCTTTCTATGGTTTCAGGCGTGGTGTTAATTCGAGCTTCGAAATGCATACTAGTGGAATCACTTCGAAATTAAGCCAATTAAGCCTTGTTTCAGTTCGAAATGAATCTTCGTGCCTGCTAGCACGACTACCATGTCTACTACTACTTAGTACCATTGTCTCTGCCACTGCCACTGCCACTCACAATACCTCTACGATATTACGACTACTCATTAGTACCAGCGTAAAGGCTGCCGCCAAAAGAATACTACTCCTACTGCTACTACTACTACTACTACTCCTACTACTACTACGACTACTACAGTACTACTACTACTACTACTACTACCACCACTGCTGCTACCACTACAGCAACAACAACTACAACAACAACAACAACTACTACTACTACTGCTGCTACTACTACTACTACTACTAGTGCTACTCGAGACATAACAGCGTTCAGCATGTCTTCAAATCGTAACACAGACACGACAGAAAAAAAAAGGCGACCCCTCTCCCGGGAACAAGTAAAAGCAGCTCAAACCTCAAGAAATAACGCACTCAGATGAAGAGAACGCTGGCGTCACCTACCAACGCTGCGACGACGACGACGACTACTACTAATAATAATAATGCTGCTACTACCACTACTACTGCTACTACTACTACTACTGCTGCTGCTGCTGCTGCTGCTGGTACTACGGCGACGACTACTACTAGCACTAGTACTAGTACTAGTACTAGTACTAGTACTAGTGCTAGTACTTTTTTTACTACTAGTACTACTACTGCTACTACTACTACTACTACTACTACTCCTACTCCTACTCCTACTCCTACTCCTCCTCCTGCTGCTGCTGCTGCTGCTGGTACTACGGCGACGACTAGTACTAGCACTAGTACTAGTACTTGTACTAGTACTAGTACTAGTGCTAGTGCTACTTCTACTACTACTACTTCTACGACTACGACTACTTCTGCTACTACTACTACTACTACTACTACTACTACGGCGAGGACGACGACGACGACTACTACTACTACCACTGCTGCTACTATTACTTCTACTACTGCTACTGCTACGATGGCGACTACTCCAACTGCTACCATTCGTACTACCAGTAGTAGTACCAGCAGTACTGTAATATTATTTTTACTATTGACTGTAGCCATATCTATCTAATCAGCATTGCTGCTCCACCACTCCAAGCATTACCACCAGAAGTTCCTACAACCCCGTGGTTCCAGTACCATGACGAAATGCAAAGCGCCTTCGTATGTCAGTGCAAGGGCAGCACACTTGCTGCCTGCCAGGTTGAGGTGTGGACTGGGAATTTGGTGTATAGGGACGGGGCGCTTCTGTCAGATATGGCCTGTTACCCCGAATCGTCGACCACCCTGGCACTGACAACACTTGGCACCCTAAAGCCAGGCAAGCTCCGAGGAGGCAGTTGCAAAGCAGCTGCAGGTCGGCTTCAGCAGGGTTGCAAACCGTGTCGGATTGATAAGCATGGGGTTTCCAAGCAGTTCGCTGAGGTATCATAAAATGTTGGTGATACAAGAGCTTCAGGAACTCGATTTGGAATCGCAAATGCTGCTTGGTGTTTCTAGTCCTTGCAGCAATAATTATAGGGACGTAGTGTACACTTGAACCTTTGTCCGCATTGCATTTTTTCGCTTGCAAGGCATTCCTTGTAAACTTGAGAGAACTCCGAAATGGGTTCCATGTTTCCGCGGGCCTGCGAAAGAATGGAACCCGGGAATGCCCTGCACTCGAAGCACGGGCCCGCAACACCTTGACCGGTCTGAACTTAGGTGGGATGGACCCCAACGTCGGAAACAATGGCGATGCAAAAACTGTGTTGTTGTACCCTTGCTGTGAAGTAGTCGAAACGCTGTCGGGGGGCAGGTTGCGGCAGGTTCTTCAGGTTTTTGTTTGAGGGAATGGGTGAATTCCGCAATTCGCATTGTGGTTGCACCGGGTTTGACGCTTTTGTTCCGAGTCTCGGATGAATCCCTGAGCTGCGGCTGCAGGCTCCCTTCACGGTCGACACCGTGCACGTGAAAGGCACCCTGGATTTGTTTTCATGGTTTACAGTTCAAGGTTTATAGGGTTCCAGATCAACCGTGAACCGTGAACTGCACAAGCGGCCTTCAGTTCCACTTTCCGAGGTTGTCCTGTCCTAATCTTAAGAGACTTTTTCCTGTAGACGCTGGGTGCATAAGAATAAAGTTTGTTCATCATTTATTCATTTGGGTAGGGTCGGTGGTCATCATTTATTCATCATTTGTTTGTGTTTTTTTTCATAGTGCCTGAAGCGGGTTCCGGGTAGTCATCATTTATATCTGGTTTGAGACCACAGCCAGGTGGAGATTCGCTCCAATATCTGCTCGAGCAACTGTATCTTTCGATCTATGTTTCAAAGGCCGCCGTAGTTCACAGACCACAAGAATTCATCAATTAGACTTGCTAGACTCGGCTAGTTGCTTCTCATCTCATTGCAGTCAACTAAGCGGGAGATTAGATCTTGCAAACAGGAGACGTTTCTCAGATCTTTGATAGCACGAGTCGGATCTGCCCGCCCCTCGCATGCCACTGCCCATCCACTGCGTGCAGCTCCAGCTCCCAGGTCTGTGCCCAGAACGATGAAAAAACCACGCCTTGTAACCGCGGCATGCTCAGAATCACAAAACAAACGATAAAATAATGATGAAAAAGATGAAAAAACACAGCAAACGATGCAAATACGATAAACACACTTAAAAAATCAATGAACAAAAGCATAAAAATGAAGAACAAACGAAGACAAACGATGAACAAGTAGAAGAAAAACGATGAATAACTGATGAAAAGTGATGAAAATGACGGAAATTGATGAAAATGACGGAAAAACTGACGACAGTCTAGCAAAAGTGCAAATTTCCAGGTTCTCCCCTCCCCTCTTCCAAACGCAGGATTCCCCAAGCCACCGGGACCTCTCCCAAACGGTGAAAAAATGGGCACTACCCTCCGCAGTCCTGGAACCCGACCCGCAAACGACAAAAAACGATGACCCGCCCCCCTAACCCGACACGCACACGACAACAAAACGATGATCCGCCTCTACCGCCTCCCCCCCCTCTCCCTTCCTCGGTGGCATCCCAAACCCTTGCCCTACCCGCGACACCCTCTCAACCAACGGAGAATCCAGGACCAGTGCAAACCTCAAAGCCGGAACCTTTATCGATTATGCTTCTACTTAACACAACTTACTTTCATAATTACCCACTGGCCCCCAATCAGGCGAAGTCGACGTCCACCGTACTGTACCAGACCCACGGGCCCGAGCTTGAATTCTGAAGCTTTTAGGATCAAAGGTGTGCCAGGTTCCGTAGGCCAGGGGCAACGATCACAAGATGACTGCTAAGCACTGACAACGATGATAAGCGAATGATGTATAAATAATGATGACCTCTGGATACCAAACGATGAATAAATTGTGGAAAAACTTATAGGCTGATTTCCAATCTGTACACGCCAGAAAATCTCTTAATCCTAATCTTCGCACTGCAAACACAGCACAAATTTGGGTGAGTAGTATAGGTCTATTTATATGTGTGTGTGTATATATATGTAAAAACATAAGTGATGTATAGTATACATATACATTGTATGCATATGTGTGCGTGTATAAGTTGGGCAACGCGCAAACTCTGTGCTAACCGTAACAGTGATTGTTTTCGGATGCCCTCCTGGGGAACTTGGTGCTCCCAATGCAGTCCCACTTCAGGTGGATTCAAGAACCCATCACTCAACACGGTCTTCTACTTGGATCCGCACTTGCAGATAGGCCAGGCTAATCGGAAGGGGGCTGTCCGTACCGCGCAGGGCTCAGGGACCGTTTAGGATGTGGTTTACATGGTTGAAAGTCGTATACAGTGTCTGACAGATGTTGACGACTACTATTACTTGTTGGGGTCAGGTCTCCTTTCGATAACGCTCGCGAGAATGTCAACGCAATGTCAATGTGGTAGGTTTGGACGGGCCTGGATCACATTCAGCTTTGAAGCCTTCGCCGTCCAGTGTGAGCTTGTATATAAAAAAGTATTTGTATACACTTCTGTTTTTTATGACCATAAAAAATTCAGCGGCAATAAAACATTCAGTGCATGGTCTTTTCTATTTTTTCACGTCAGCACTACACGTTTATGTAGGACTGAAGGGCTTTGCTCGTTTAGGGCAGTTCGGCACAGCCCAAGCAGTCCAAGTGTTGCATTTGGGGCTTTTTGGGTTTAGGACGGTTGTACTGTCATCGTTAGAATTCTAACTGCAGGTACAAGTATATCAGTCTTCTAGTCCGGATGCCAAAATTTGAGGGCCCCCCACCGGAAATCAACCGGTATGCTGACCCTTAACTATCTTGGGTTGAATGAGCCATACCGAATGTCAAGGTTGACCCTAAGTTCCTCAGGCGGGGGCCCTTGCTTGTAGGGCCTGGGGCGCCTAGTTGAACTTCTCTTGGGTTCAGCCCCTGGGCTTTGGGAGGGGTCTTGACAGGAAACCTAAACCTGAAGTATTTTCTCGGTGACCAGGGTGTGGGTTCGGTGTCTTACTGGTATCTAAAAACTACACTTGTTGATTGCTCTTTATTGTACTGTCAAGTATTGCGGGGTAATTTAATGATCTACAGCTTGCGCCATACACGCGGCGCTAGAGCCCTATTTAGTGTCGGTGTGTCTTTCCTCGGTCCTCAGGCAGTCGCGCGACCTATTGGGATGACAGCCGACGGTGGTTCATGTACTACCAGGCTCAGGGACGTCGAATGCTCAATTTAGTTGGGTCTTTGTGTTCTTAGGTTCCATGAGGTTCAGAGTTCGTGTAGGGTTCATGTAGGATTTAGGGCCGAAGATTGAGAGATTGAGGCTTTGATGTTCGAGTTCGATGTTTCGGGGTTTGGGGAACCGGGTGGGCCGTTCTTGAAATGGTTTCCTTTTCGACCCTCAGCGTGCAGCAGAAAGGAACCGAGCTCGGAACATGCGAAATGCACTTGTTGCTGCCGGCTTGTGTTATACGTACTGCTGCATTGCATCGCTGCACTGTGCGATTAGCTTGTCACGATTTTTGTCCCTTGCAGTTGCGATGTCACACCTGCATGGAGAGATGGGGAGTTCTACGGTTGCATCCTGGGGTCTGCCCACGGACTAGCCGCTTGTAGAGCATCCTACCACTGTTAAGTATCTTGTTCCTGCATGTTGTTTCATTACAACGTGCATGTGCCAAAGTTAGGTTCATCAAGGTACAGTGCAGGGAACTGCTGATGTGCTTGTTCGGGTCGCCATCAAGACTAGTTACGCTGGCGATCTTGGCATTCCCTAGTCTGGCCAGCTTCTCCAAAACCGCTACATCAACCCGAAGCGCCGAGCTGTAAATTCTAATCTAGAGCCTCTTTGTTCCGGCGTCCGAGCTTTCCCGCAGTGGTCTAGCACGCCAACACCCTGCGGAAATGTCTTCGAAACCCGGGAATCAGATCGAAGCCTTGACATTGCAGAAACTGAAGTACCCTTTTCTGCTTTGTCATTCTGCTCCTAGGAATGTATTTGCTGCGTCAGTGTTTGTGTTGATTGAAGCATCCAGGTATGAGAGCGTAGCCCCCTAACTGCCTCTTGCACACCTAGCTCTGGCTTTTCAGGCCCCGATGAAACGATGGGCCATCAGCATCCGGGATGCCTCTACAGGCAGTGCTTGGGGTTCAGGTTTCAGGGCATTGAATTCTAAATTCAGGTTTCGTCTTTAGGGTCCAGGGCTCGGGGGCAGCTTGGATAGCCCTTTTGCTGCGATGCCTTTAAGGCGCGTGAACCCGGAATTGGTATTCTCTAGTATGTGTCGACAGTGTCGTGAGACTGAATGCATACGACACATTGAGTGAGCGAGGGAAGGAGGATATTTCATGTTTGCTCTTCCAAGCCGCAGGCATTCACGTGGTATGTGCACGCGCTGCTGTGTGCATATATTATATACACAGAGTGTGTGTCGGCGTGGGGGCCTGCATTTCTTGAGAAAGCAAGCCTTGTTGTTTTCTACGTTTATGTGTATGTTTGTATGTATGTACGTATGTATGTATGTATGTATGTATGTATGTATGTATGTCTGTATGTCTGTATGTCTGTATGTATGTATGTATGTATGTATGTATGTATGTATGCTTCATAAGATTTCGTAGCGCCGTGGGTCTAGCCAATCCGCGCAGGCTGAAACCCGAGCCCTCCTTTCCAGGGGAGGGTGTTGGCTTCGCTTCGAGGTTCAGCGTTCAGGCTGTACATGGCGCTTATAGAGTTCAGGCACATACTCTGACTCAGGGGCTTCAGATGCCTCATAAAGATAGTAAATTGTAGGACTGATACGAACAGCATGCATGCTAGTGCTTGCGGTTTCAATACATGGGTTCTGCACGATGGTCAACATGTACTGTGCGTGAGTGCACGCGGGGCGATTGCTGCCAGAAGGTGATCATTGCTTCACTATCTTGCTGTATGGTTAGGAGTCGTAGTGCAAATGGTATTCACTGTTATTTGTACTAGTTAAGACGATCATGAGGGTCATTGTTTGATTTACTGAGTTTGCCGAACTTGGTAGTTTTTACCACCAGCCATGGAGCCCTTGGCGAAGAGGGCCAAGCTAGGAGACGATGGTGGCATTGAGCTGCATGAGGTCCAGTGCCACGGGGACGTGAAGGATTTACTTAGGTGGATGGGGCATGGTGGCCTAATCCACGTGACGCTGGCGATGAGCCAAGACATCGGCTTTAATTGGCAAAGCTTGCATCCGAAGATTGCGGTCCAGCTATTCTTTCTGAGATATTGTGGCCTCAAGATGGGGATGGAGGCTCAATATGAGTATATTTGCGACACGGTGGCATGGCCCGAATCGGGATACGTCGCAACCCTGGTCACCAGAGGATTTTACGATAGACGCTTCAGCTTCCGAGGAAAGGTTCGGCAGACCATCGCAGCTGCTGAAACCTCGGTGGCTCAAGTTTTCCTCTCCCATCCCAGCATTATTGAGATCGCCTCAAGGTTGCCCCCACCACTGCCAGATGTTCGACACCGGCTCCTGCTGACAAAGCCTCAGCGGGAAGCTTTGGCAGCAGCAGGCTTGAATCTTGGTGGCTATTGGCCAGTGTTAAGGCTTTGAGGTACCTCAGTCTTAGTGACTGCTTCGGCAAGAAATTTCACGTGTTGGGGAAAGCCCATTGCTGGAATCTAGCTGAGCTAGCAAAAATGTCCAAAGAAGCACTCATTTCAGTTTGGTATAGTCCGAAATTTTACACACACACACACACATCATGCAGCTACACAAGCCGCCGACGCTTCATAGAGTGAGAAATCAAGCCGCACAAAAATGATCCATATAGCTACATACTAACCGCAGCTGGAGCCGTGAATCCCAAAATCCTTGCCGTTGCAGCGTTGTGAGCAACGAGCTCCGAACCCTTTGAGGGGGTGGCCAAGGAGCTGGGAGGCAGTACAGGAGGACATGGTGCAGAAGGTGTACTTTGGATTCCAGTCCATGGGCTGCCGCAGCCAACTTTGGGATGCAAGCGCCGCTTAATTTGTGCATGCATATGGGGTTTGGACATGAAAGTTTAGGGCTCAGGAAATTACAGCAGCAGTGCTACGAAGGCTGCTTCGTGATCGTAGTTTGAATTAGCGATTTGGGATTCTATGCTCAGGGCAAAAAAGCATGGGTTTCTTGGGTTCAGCGATTGGGCTCATGGTGTTGAGGATGTACTAATGCAGGCATCGTGGTTTGAGCTGTTTCGGGTGTACTTCCAGGAGGCTGTATAGGAAAACCGCATCATGCGGATGTCCGAGCTAGCACTTCACGAGGTCATCTGACATGTAAATTTAAGTGCCGAAAACCTAAACCCTGATAGTTATCACAGGAGCCTGAACCCTCAAACCCTGACAGCCTTGGATTTATAAACCGCCGAGTCTTCGACCTTTAGCAATCATTTAAAAGGCCTGGTGACCTCCTATTCAGCACCTGGTGGCTTCCACACCTCGCGCGATTTCGCTTATCCTTGCGTGGCAAGATGGCAAAATCGAAGGGTGTAGGTTTCCTGTGTTTGGGGCGCGGGGGAGGGGGGTTTGCGTGGTGGGTGGGGTCTGTAATTGAAGAGATTTTAGGACTGGATCCGACTCCTATATCCTGGGAGCCAGGGAATATATTGGCGCGCCGGGTTATTTTTGAGGTCTAAAACACTTTGTGATAGGATTCTGGCAGCGCTTGCTAGCGTTTCCTGGAGAATAGTGGCTTAGCGTAGGGTTGCAGCCGTTCGTTTACGGAATTGACGGCTTGCAAGTGCAAGAGCTCTGTGGCCGCGGGGCTTGAGACTTCAGGGTTTGCAAGTTTGGGAGGTTCGGAAACGTCGTTGCAACGACGGGTTTGGCAAGGCTTGACTCCGGCAACCAAGCACTGGACAGACCATGTGAGCTGTTGCCTCCAAGGTCACTCAGCAGTTTTTGTAGTGCGACCGAAACCTTTAATTTGAAAACCGTAAACCTCAAGCCCTGAGCTCCAGTATAATCTAGTATCGAGTAACGCTGTGTTGTGATATGCACTGGAGAAGTCTAGCATCTTCTCGATGTAGGAGCTGTCTCTATGTAAAGCTCGTTCCTAAAATCTTACTGAAAGCTCTGGCATCACAATTCGCAACAATCCCTACAGAGCCGTTGGGCTTCATCAAGGCATGATTCCGCATACACAACAGCTGCAAGTTCAACTGCAGACCTCATGACAACCCTAACACCCTCATACAATCAACAAATATTCACCAATCTGTTATGATGAACAGAACGACCTCTTAGAGGCTTAGACCCCATCAAGTCTTGAATCAGGTGAGGATATGCTGGAGAACGCCAAGGGTGGTGGCCTGCGGGCGACTTAGTCATCATACCGCGACGAAGGTTAGTGGGTTTCGAGTCTGAGGGTCTTCGGAAGTCTCGGGGCTTATAAGTCGTGGTGAGGTTTTAGGGGTTTCTGCTGCGACTGGGCTCACATTCCTGTAGCGCTGAGGAGTGTTGGTGGACAGCCAAGACTGTGTAACTCAAAAGCAACAGTGGTACCCTGGATGTGTAAGCGCTCTATCTATCACGCTTGGGTGTGTCAAAGTCGTACTTTCCAGATAGGCATGTCTGAAGCGTAATATGAAATGCATGATAGTAAGAAATTCGTCTCCTTCGGGTTCCCTATCATCAGCTGCCCAATACCGAGTCCACCTTGTTCAGGCTCCTGTAACATGTGCTTTCGGGGGCTCAGGGTTCAGAAGGGACAGCGCTCCGGCTCAAACATGCTGAGTGTGCACGAGGATGTCGTCAAGTGCGTCATAAGCTGTGCTGTTGCTTAGCGAACCTCCATATGCAGGTTTGCTAGAAAGGGCCTGACCTACGAAACTAAGTCCTAAACCCCCCCAAACCTTCAAAGCACAAAGCTCTGCACCCAAGATAAAGACAACACTCTAGTCCTTGCTAGGTGCGGCTTCGCTGTCGAGGCCCTCCGACCTTTTCTTGTGAGTTTTTGGGGGTCTGTGGCTTCAGGGGTTTGGGGCATGAAATTAGTAAGGCTTTGTAGAGGGTTTGCCTGCAGAGTCGGCTATACTGCTCGCACTTTCAGAGAGTAGTGTAGGGTACAAGACGAACCGTTTTGGGGTTCCGGGTTGAGGGGATATCAGGGGATTAATTGCGGATTGCAGATTTGGAGCGCTCGAGCAGGAAGTAAACGAGCAAGGAGGTATATGCCCTAAACTCCTAAACGCTTGCCCTCTGAACCCTTGGGCCCACAACCCTGAACCCCGAACCCTAAACCTTGAACCAAAGCAGGAACAAACGGACACTAGGTACACGACACGATGGCTCGAGAAATCAGTCGAGAGTACTTCCCGGCTCTCGTCTGGGAAATGACCGGTACAGCTCCCAGGCCGCGATCAGGTGTGCCCAAAACGCGGCGCGTAATCCCTCATCTACAGGTGCCTTCAACGAATTGCCTTCCGTAAGTAAGCCCTTTGCAGACAGACTAAGATCAACACTGTCAAAGGATCCGGTTGGAACACCCCTATACAGGTTGCCTAGTTAAGAAGCATGCAGGTGGACAAGAACAAGAACGCGTGGCAGGAGTTCTTCGATGAGAAGTGGGTGACTGCAAGGGGCTTGTTACGGTAGTACCATTAAGGCGCATGTTTCAGCTTTGCAGGCTCAGTCTCCACCGTAGTGAATCTGCACATTGAAGAGAAATGGGACCGATACCCTGTTTAACTTCGGCACCAAACGCCACTAAACCTAAAGGCTTCCCTGCAACCCTGACCCTAGGCCGAAAGCGTCGACTGGTCTACATCTACTGTAGAAAATTTGAAAAACGGGAATCGGCCGAGCTCAAATGCATCCCGAAAGCCTGCAACTGCAAGCCCTATAACCTGAAAGCCTTAAACCTCCATTATGCGAGCGCACATCTCCAAACCGTGAGCACCACGACGAACATCCGGACCACCGCGACGACCGGTGCGACCAGGACGACCGCGATCGCCCGGACACCACGAGGAGAGACCACCAGGCGACTAGTCTGAGACCACTGGAGACCACCAGAAAGTCGTTTCGCGATGTACTGGCGGGATTCAGTCTTGCACGTGCCACCCAATAAGGGGCGAACCCACTAAATCTTGAACGATCGACAAGACCCCTAGATGTCAGACACCGAACTTCCAAGGTACCCCTCCACACAGCGAGGCCCAGAACACAGAGCTCTCAACCGCCCTAAGCTCGAAACAACAAAACGCTTAAACGCTACACCAGCAGAGACCTGAGCAGATCCCTGGAAAAAGAAGCTGCAACAAAGCGACCTACATAAAATTGGCCTGGGGCTTTGAGGTGGAGATCGACATAAGGAAGCTTTGCACCGGGAAGCGGGCACCTCCTGCCGGAACCTTGCACTCTGAAGCACACAGGGTTTGTGGCTTTTGGGGTTGAAACTCCGGAGTAAATATTATAGGGTCTAGGCTTACTGAACGCATGTCACGAGTTAATTCAGAGCTTTGGGTTCGAACAGCTTGGCGGGGTTCAGTCTAAACTACAGTTTACGGCCTTGAGGTGTAGAGGGCTTCGGGGCGTGGTGTTCGAGGATGGGTTTAAGATTCTCCTGTTTCGGATTTAGTGGTTGGGCGCCCTATGAGTCAGGGTGAAGCCGACGCTAACGAGATGAACACCTGTGCAAAACCTGAAACAGGTTTGGGGTCTAAGGATACGGATGAAACGAGCTAGAAGCCTGAACAACTCGCCACATTCATAAAGCGCATAATGTACCCCAAAACCCTAGTCTAATTATTGAACTTGAAGCCCCTATATCAGGCGAAGGGAGAAGAGAATTCAAGCCATCTAGTTCATTCAGGACCCTACTGCAAGCATCTATCGCATGGTTTGGCAGTGGAGTGCTCTGCATAATAATATCGTTGTTCTTCGCGTTCCTGTTTTGGAATGCAGTAGCGGAGCTCTAAATAAATTTCCTTGTTCAGAATTATTCCGGATGGAATGAAGCCCTTGTCCAGGTTTCAGGGTTTAGGGGGCTGTTGTTTCCGGGGGCAGGTGTAGGATTCAGGCACGGAGCCTACACACCAAACCCACAACCCTAAACCCCTCTGCAAGCAATCTCCAAACCTTGGATTAGAGTCCTGATCCCTGAACGCAGAAGCCCTAAATGTGGAAACTTTTAGTTTCGGGTTCTGCAAACTGATATGCCGACAAGCAGCGCGCTGAGGGCAAGCTTGGGTGCATGTTTATTCTGATTTCAGGGCTTGTAGCTGTTATTGAGACTTTTGCTTTCGAGCCGCGTTTCTGGATGTCGTCACTTTGAAGCCGCACGGAAGCCTTGCTCTTGGGGCTGACGTGGATGACACCGCCATCTGAGATGCCGAAAGCTGTTTTGGTACTGCAGGGACTAGCAGGCTGCTGCTGTCGCTGCTCCAATCCAGGGACAACATGGCAGGTCAACAGCAGCATGTCGCGCATGCTCCATGCTGGAATTAAGCAAAAGGACTAAACTCTGAAGTTGAAAGCCTTACAAACCAGACCTTATTCACATACTGCATGTCATCGACTCCGAGCCAAGGTGCTGCCCCGCGTTCCAGAGCGACACGCCCCCAATGCGAAGAAGCTCCAGGTACGACCACTCTAGCACCAATGTGTTAGAGCTTTAGGGTCTGCAGCTTTTAAATAATGAACCTGCGAAGTTTCCGAAAGACTTATACCTCAAAACCCCCCAAACGCTTTAAACCCGAAAGCCCACCCCCGAAACACTAAACCCTTAAACCGTATCAAGCCGCAAGCACCCAAGCGTGGACCTTTTTCAGGTGCCCACGATTCCCACGACTGTCAAGCAAGAGCCCGAGCCCGTGAAGGCGCCGGCCCTAAACTAAAGCTTTAAGGTACAAGCTGTTGGCGGTATGGTGCAGGGAGTGCAGGGTTTAGGGTGTGGGGTTTTAGCTTGAAGCTTCGGGTTCAGGCAATACCGGACAGCCGCAGATTGCCGAATATGAACGAGGCATGAGACTATTCACATCAGTG